TCCTCCATCCCCAGTAGGGAGGCATGGACTTCCAGACTCTGTGATACTTACTACAAATTAGAAATTTGCTTGAGTATATAGAATCAAAAGGTATCTACGCATCATGATGGAGAAGAGACAGACATAAGTGACTTCCTCAGAGCCAACCCCTCTAAAAGAATTAAGGTACCAAGAAAAGGATCACGAGAGGTTCACAACCTCTCCATTGGTGTCTATTATAAATAGAAGTTCCCAATTCTTCCTCTCACACCCCTCTAGGCTTGCTGCACTCTAAAAGCCTGCACCCACGGCAGTCCTCGACACCTGCTAACCCATGCTTTTCTCATGTATGAAGATCCTTATATGGAACCTGTGTAATACCAGAAAAGCGAGGGCCTGCTAGCCTTTTGTCATAGATTCTCTCCCTAGGTCCTAGCCATCCTTGAGATGAAGTAACCCCAATGTTCAAAAAAAGGGATTCGAGCACCTAGGCGGTTTGGGTGTCTGGCCGCCTAAGCAACGCCCAGGGACAGGGTGCCCTCACCAAAATCAAACACCACCCCCCCCTCCCCCCCAACCCCAAACATAAAAAATAGAGGAGTTCTTAGGGCATGGTTAGGGTGTTTGTAAGGCAATTTTAGAGCCCCAACTCCTTGTGATCATTAAATAGACGAAAACATAACAGTACAACAATAAAATACTACAATAAGTACAATCACATAACATATTGACGAACGAGACAATCATACAAGTCTCAAAGAGATTGTAACTTACTAACTTGTAAGTTGTAAGCCATTAAAATTCTTGACATCCCAAATGTCATTGTAGGAAACTAGAAGTCCACCCACGAACTATTGTCTTTGTTTTGTAAAGAAATAGAAAAAATAAAAAATTTATCGATCTTTCGATAAATCACAAAATAGTGGTTTTTGAGGGGGTTTTCTCACCCTAAAGGCCACGGATTTTCTATTGGAGGTTTAGAATACCCCCTAAAACCCTTTTCCCCCTTTTTAGGGGGGAAAAATTACATATTTTACCCTCACCCGAGGGTTTTTGCAGCCGCCCTCAAGGTGTCACGGGGCAGCGCCTAGGCGGTACTCAGACAATAGCGCCTAGGCAGCACCAAACCGCCTAGGCGTTAGCCCAAAAGCAAAAACGCCTAATGCACCCGCCCAAACTGCACCTAGGCATTTTGAAATTTTTTTTGCCTAGGCGATCGGGCAGCCAAATTTTTGAACATTGAGTAACCCCAACCAAATCTCTTTGTAGTCTGCAAAGTATGGGCCTGCAAACCATGTTAGTGGGAGACCCTCGACTCGTAGGGGAATTAGGGAGGCATTTGGGTTATCTTGGAACTAAGCCTCCACCATTGCATGTATGACAAGGTTGTGTCCTTTTCCGTTTCCACCTTTTCCAGAGTCTCAGATGGGACTATATGGTCTTTCTTTGCAATCTACAGCCCCAACTCAAACAATCTTAGGCATTTTTTATGGGACGAATAAAATCCTGCATCCCCCTCCTCCCCACAACCTTGGGGTACAGGAAGTGACTTCAATGTCATCAAATGGACCCCTGCAAGGAATAGGAATCACACCTTAACGAGTGCCATTACGGCTTTCTCAAAGTTCATCCACATGAGAGGTCTAATTGAAACCCCTCTCAATGGCACAAGTTTAACTTGGTCCAGCCATACCAACAAACCTCCCCTGTCTAAGCTTGATCAGTTCCTCATCTCTGCCAAGAGGAAAGAGCTATTCCCAGGATCCCATTCCTTGACCCTTCCAAAACCAACTTCTGATCACTGGCCCATCCTTCTTGACACATTCCCTGGGCCAGTAGGCAAAAGACCCTTTTAGGTTTGAATTGTCATGACTAGAAGAGGCCAACCTTCAGAATCTCGTTACACAATGGTGGAAAGCTGTAGTGGTCGGGGTTTCGGCTCTTAAAGAACTTCAGTTGCTCAAGTGCTCTCTCATCAATTGGAGCCGAGGCCTCCTAGGAAACTTTGACGCCATCAAAACAGAGATCCTTTTGCTCATTCATATCTTGATTCCCTAATAGAGGTTAGGGAGTTCTCTATTGTGGAAAGAGATAGAAGGACCCAAGCAAAGATCGACTACCAGTTAGTGCTTAAGAAAGAGATCTTCCGGTACATAAGGTAGACGATTAAATGGCGCATCAATTCGGGGACCAAAAAAACAAATTCTTTCATATCACGGCCAACCTGAGGTGTAGGGAAAATATTATATCTCAGTTATCAATGGGTAGTTGTTCCTACAGCCCGACTGAGGAGATAGAAAGGGTTATCACTAGGTTCTCTAGAAGCTGCTTGGATTCAAACCCTCACCTAGACCCTCCTTGACCTTTCCTTCCTTACCCTCCCCCAAAGACAAACTGGAGTGCGCAGAGAAGCATTTTCTAGAGGAAGAGATCTCAAAAGCTATCAAAGAGCTTGGTCAGGATAAAACGCTTTAAAAGAAGTTACTTTTTGTGATATATTGCTCATTAAGGGTGTATTTGTAAATATCACTACAAGATAAGGGGTACTTTTGTCATCTCCATAAGGGTAAAGTTGGAATTTTTATTAAAGGACAAGGGCACTCTACAAATAAAGTTCCCGAACACTAACTTCCAAAATACCATTATACTTTTGTAAAAATTTCAAACTTACCCTTGCTTAATGGTTAAGTTACCTATTAAAATAATTTTTTAAACAAAATATAATGATCTTTTTGATAAATACATTCATCACAACTCCTAACATTAACCTTTGTATTTTGAGGGGTTGCTAACTCTAAACAAACCCTATATATATATATATAAAAGCATAGTGTCTATATTACATTATATACTTAACAGTCTTAGCATGTATGTTTACTAATACACACTTGGGGTGCCTCATCCCAACAAATGGACATCTTGTGGGTCTTCCATAAATGCTTCAACTTGCCACAGGTTTCAAAGTTAATCTGATAAAGTCTAAACTATTGGGGTCACTTTGGACCACCAATCATTTTTAACCCGTGCAGGCAGATTGGGGTGCTCCACCGAAACCCTTCTCCTTAAATACCTCAGCCTTCCTTTGTGTACCAATAAGCCCACAAGCAACTGTGGGCCCCTTTTGTAAAAAGGTTTAACCAAACAATAGCAGCTTGGAAGGGTATATTCTTATCCCAAGCAGGTTGCATAACCCTCATCAAGGCCACCATGTCAAAATTCCGGTATATCAGATGTCTCTCTTTAGAATGTTTGCCTCTGTAGCCCAAGGCCTTAAGGATGAGGGATTTATTGTGGTCGGGCTCTGATGATCGTCATTGTCCCCATCTAGTGGATTGGGACAGTCATTCTACCACAACACTCTAGGGGCCTTGGCATTCGAAGCCTCAGATCTTGCAAATTTCACTGCTGGGGAAGTGGTGGCGGCGGTTCACCCCTGAATCTAACCACCTGTAGCAGTAGGCCTCTTCAGAATCACGAACTAGACGATTTCACCTCCATTTTAGCTATGCTCCATAAGTCCTATACCCCCCTGGCAAGGACCTGATCATATGATTTAATCACCATCCGCGTCAGGCCTCTCTCGGTGGCTTCTTTTTAAGGCATTCTACATAGGCCCACCTCTCCTCTCCCTCCCCAATACTCGGTAGCTAGAAGAGCATGGTTGAACCCTATCCTGCCAAAAATTCAATCGTTTTGTTGGATAGCTATCTTTGAAAAGGCCCTACCTGTGGACCACCTGCAATGTAGGGGCCTATCTATAGTACCCAATAGGTGTGCCATGTGCAAAGCAGCAGAAAAAGTGAGCGATCACCGTTTCCTTCATTGCGAAGGGGCCAGATGCTTATGTTATGGTCAGAACATCAGCAGAGCTTCACCTGGCAGTGGGACATTTCACAGTTAGTAATCCAACCTTACCAAGCATTTTTCCTCTCTGCCTTACCTGGCAACAGGCCTTTTTCTGTGGCAAGCAACAGTGGCTACTACAATCTGGACCATCCGGAAAGAGAGGAACACCAGAATCTTTGAGGGAAGGGAGTTCAACTCCAGGGCCCTTATAAATCGCATCAAATCATCCGTAATGCTTCAGGCTTGTAACGATAAACACCTCAAAGACGTGTATTCGTGTATAGATCTGCAATGATCTCCCATTCTTCCCTTTGTAGACCCACGAAGGCACCTCAGTTAAAGCTCAATTTTCACGGTTGCTCCCTTGGCAACCCCGGTCCCACCGGCTGTAAGGGCTTATTCAGAGATCACAGCAGTAACACCCTCCTCGAGTACTCAGGCCAGCTCGGTATATCACTGACTTGACCACTGCGAAAGCAGCCACACCCTTAGAAGGCTCCAAAAGATACAACAGGGACAGGGTCGACTCCTCTGTACTTGAAGGAGATTTTAAAAATATTATTGCTTGGGCCTCAGGTGTTTCCACCTGCTTGCGGTGCCTAGAGTTCATCTTTGAGCAAATTTCTTCTCTTTGTAGGCATATTCGCATCTCATTCAGCATATACGACGGAAGGTGTCTCACTCGCAAAGGAGGGCGCTACAGAGATTATCGATGGAACCTAACGGCGTTTTTTGGAGCTTGTTTCCTCATTTTTGAGTTTTAGTTCCCTTCTGTTCTTTCATTGTTCTACAACGTGCCTTCCAAAGCACCATTTTTTGTAAAGCTTTATGCCCCCATTTTAACAGGGGCATAAATGAAAGCAAATAGTAAAAAATTCCAAAAACGAAAGGGCTGCCACCTTCTACTCATCATGAAGTACAGAAGCCAGAATTGGGGATGATGTCTCCCCACTACCACAACTCTGAGCCACAAACCAAACCCCTCCAGGGGCCATATCATATACATACATGCATGCATACATGTGTCTCTGTGCATATGCATATACATCCACACCTAGAAATACAGTAGCACGGGTGTATCCATCCGTGTGTGCATGTGTGTGTGTGTGTGTGTGCATGCATGCATCCGTCCATGTGTGCATGTGAGAGAGGGAGAAAGAGAGAGGGCCCATTGGTGTCATCAACACAAGAAAGTTGTAATTTTATAATATCTAGAATGCGTCTTGGTTCTTACAATCTATGAGTTTCAAGATTCTATACTTGATTTTCATCCTGTAAAATGATAATTGGCCAACAAAATATAAGATATGAACACTGAGGAACGAATCTGCCAAGAACTTAAAAATAGCAACTTATACAACCTTCTTAAACACCAGGACCAGTAGTATCAAGTTACTCGTATGATTTTTAAGGACTAAAACTACAAGAGAAACCCAATACCAAGCCTCTTGATAGGGTTACCATATTACATCAGCCCCAACTTCTGAACAAGATCATGTTCGGGGCTTCAGTGAGGGAATGAAGAACCGGGATACTTGAAGATTCTTCAAATCAATTAATTAACCATAAATCCGATGCCTTCAGTGGACACTCTGAAGGAATTCAATCACTCTCATGTTCAATCATAGCTAGCATTCAAGAACTTGAGCAATTTGTTTCTGTTGTTTTCTGCCAATTTGTCTTCCTTCGACTTGTCAAGTTTTAACAAAATCTGAAGAGTGATAATCTCATATTCTCAGGGATCACGCATATTAAAAAATAAATATTAATTATTAACTGGAATCAAGTAGGGCAACAATAATAAGTCTCAGAAAAGATCCAACCTTTTTACCAGAGACAGCACTACGGCGTACATCATCTTCTTTATCACGACCAAGGAACTGGGTGCCACAACCAAGAAGCCAGTCATAAGCAGTTCTGCCTAAAGTTAAAACACTGGCAAAACAATAGAAGCGTAAGATATAAAACCTTTGAAAGCTGTATCGGGCTGCTACTCCGCTCTCTCTGCTGCTTCTATATGTAGCTCCCATATAACCAGAGAAGCCATAGCCAGAAAACAAAATCCAGCCAGCCAATCCAGCATCCAGTTACCAGGTTGCAGACCCCAGCTCCAATGTCGAAGAGCCCATCCATGAACAGGCAGCAAGTAATATAAGCACCTCAAATATATGTAGACTCAACATATAGCATTAACTAACCAAGTAACAAACAGAGAAATCCGAAAATAATTTGGTTATTGGCTTAGTTGGTAGTGGAGCAAGGGCTGCATCATTAATGTCCACATTCGTCCCAGTTTATCCGACACAAAAGAAGAAAAACTCAGAAAAAATTGAGAAATATGAAAGAAACCAGATTAATCTAAAGATACACGACACTTACATAAACATCCAAAAGTAAATCCTCAATAATATGACAGCAGTTTCAAGTGTGTGTATATATACGCATACAAGCACAGCAGACTAAAAGTATGGCAGAGTAATGAAAAGTGTATGGATGAGTTTTAAGCATATATACAGAGCTAATGTAATAGCCTGTTAGGCTTTATGGAGTAGGTAACTCCCATTTAGAGAGAGAGGGAATTTTGATCAATCACGAGAAATCCAAATTAATCAATCGTTCAATAAATAATAGGTGCCGTGGACCATATACAGAAAACTGCGTGAACTCAATCTTTTCAATAATACCAGGCACTTCCTAAATAGAACTTCCTTAATTTTTGTAAATGGGTAAAGCTTGAGCCATGACGATATTATCCCACAGATACATGGAACTATTATCCTATAAGAACTTTATAAGCCAGGTGTGGTACGGGACAGAGAGCCAGAGCGAGAGCGTGGTTGGAGCACGAGCAGTGTGTTACATGGAAACTGACATGGGTGTCATATCTAGTACGTGTCTCAAGCATCTAGTATGCCAGCCCAAAACTCTAATACGACACATCTGTCCATGTATGTGTGTGTGTGTGTGTGTGTGTATATATGGTATTACTTTTAATACCATCTAAAACGGCCATTGGTTCGAACCCCACAAATTGACTACATTTTATATAAACTAAAACATCAATACCACGTGCCAAAATATTAGAAACGCCGTGTTGGAGCAAAAATTCACCCGACACATACAAACAGCATGGAGAGCACGTGTCTGGGCATGTCGACACATGATATGAGAGAAAAGTTGACGTGTCAGAGTAACACTGAACACAAAAGATCAAGGACTCAAAAAGGAAATTGTAAACTATTAATAAAAAGAATGGTTAGAAATAACCATCTAAAAAAAAGTAATGTTAGAAGGCATTGCCATAGATTTAATTAAGAGTTGCAACCAGTGCATGAGCACAGCTGTGACAGAAAATATGACTTCTAAAACGAAAATAGTAGGGATAAACACGGACAAATGAACATCTAGATGGCTCTAATTGCATGACATCCGCCAAGAAAACATCACTTTTTCATTGTATGGATGTCTCACACTCCCACCAGGACTATTTCATGCCTAGCAAGATCTTCATTTACCTCACAACATCACAAGAGGTGCCTCTACTTAACACAGTTTTGTACATGTCTATTTTTCTACCTTATAGGAAATTAATCAAGTCAATAGTTGCCTACCTCTTTCGGCTTGTGTTTGTGGCTTTTGTGCCTGTGAGTTGAGGCTCTTTCCTTGTCCTTGATCTGCATTAACAGAGAGAATAGAAACTAATTACAAGTGGAGGTTTAAAATAAGTTTGACCCTGCACATTTGGCAGCATACATGATACCTTTTTTCGTTTGTCATCATGCTTGTGTTTCCTCGAACGGTCCATTTCTTCATGCTTGCCATCGGACGAATGGTCACTCCTGCCATTTGATGGTGAGGTATCATCAATATCCAGAAAATTGCTTTATCAACAAATTTTATCAAAAACAAAGTAGACAAACAAGAACAAGTTTGCATGCAGATCTAAAGATCAAAATTGATGCTTTTTGCATGGTCACCCTGTCTTTCATGTAAAAGCAAATAAACACCAGAGATAAAAATATGCCTTCCTAGGCGATTCCCTGATAGTTATCTAATTCTACGCAGTAAAAGCTATGAAATTGATTTTCTTCATTAAATTTATTAGAATGAAATATCAAATAACCCTCCTTTCATTTCTTCACAAGAAATGCCATAACGAACACTAGAAGCACTCAATCTATTAAGATATCCAAATTGAAAGCTTGGATTGACTCAGCTCCATTCAGCTCGCAGCATCTACTTAAGGCTGAGGCAAGCCTTAAGTCTAATGTTTTCTAGGACAAGCAAATTTGGTAGCCAAATACAATACACACACAAGCAGCAAAGTCACGCACAACTTAGTCATTAAGGAGCAAGTAAGCCATACCACCTTTGTTATACAAAAAGGTGATATGTAATTTTTATCTAATGCTTGCTCTTACTTACAACTGGACAGACCAACTCCTTCTCCCTTCTCCGCTACCCTTTCACCAGGGTTACTTATTCTAATTTTAATGAGCATCCAGCACAGAGAAAGATCTAACACGATGTACTGCAGACCTGGTCTACATAGTTGGTAATTGAACCCTTTAGCCGTGACAGAAGAAACCCTTTAGCCGTGACAGAAGAAACCCTTTAGCCCAGACAGAAGAAACCCTTCAGCTGTAAGGCACCTAGCCAGCCTATTTAAACTGAAGATAAAAGCAGTTTTTGAGGGAAAGTTCTATAGGATCTCCACAGAACGAGAGCGAGAGAAAAACATTCTTGAAGGAAATTTCTCTAGGATATCCATGGTATGAAAGCGAGTTAACGAGGTCGGTTGACCTAGACCCTTTCGAATGAGGAATGTAATTTGGAACAATCTGGGTGCCATCCGAATGATATTCTATGGCCCCTTGTTCATAGGGAGGTCATGACCGCCACAGCCAATGCCACAACTACTAAGCTCAAAGTCTTGCACAGTCTTTCTCTGGCCCATGACGGTCAAGGGAGAACCCCTTAATGTGATCAGGTGTGCCAAAAGGCCAGTCTCCTTTTTTCCCTTCAAAATTGGCTGAACTATTATGGAGGGGCAAAGAAATCAGCATATTTGTAGGCTCGAGCACGAGTTTATTGAGATTCTTTCATTATTTCTTTCAATATGGGACCTGATTGATCCTCGTTTTTTATTTTTTGTGTTCCTCTATCACACCTTATGTTTTTGTCAGGACCCTGGTGTAACTGGATTTCTATGGTCCTAGGCATATGCAGTGTTTCACAGAACACAAGAAGAAATCTATAAAGTTATCAACTTCTCCCTTGTGTTTTCCCTTCCTTTCTCCCTCCTTCATTTTCTCTCTTCTGCCTTAGGGGATATGTCTTGTCTTGAATTCTATTGAGTAAAACTTGATGGTATATTTTCTCATCATATGATGTTAACTATCAAAATCTATAAAGTATATAACTTTATAGAATAAAGAAGACAATCACATTCATGATTGTGATTTTCTTTCAATGACAGATAATTCCTAGATTCTTAAACAACCAGAAGATGTCTAAATGATCCCACCAGAAATTACCAAGGAATGTGACCAACCAACCAACCATGCATGACCAACTGAAGTGAGACAATCACAATTTTGCAAGAATCCGGAAATCCAATAAGATATACTGCTAAAGCCATGAACATTAGTTATTAGATATGCTCCTTCTCACATCGTTTACAATAAAACATATCACGGCATCATTTTCAAATGGTCTTCTGATAATGTTCCCATTAAATGAATGTCCTAATTTATGGAAAGAAATCTCCACATTGTCCTGAAATCAAATACCTAAGAATATTAATGCCATCAAATTCATGATGACATTATGAAATGTCAAATCTAGGCCTGAATTGGCCGTATTTACTAATTTAAATCAGCAAAATACCATGAATAAAGAAACACACACAGACACAAACACAATAAATTTTGTAAATATAACGATTTAAAAAGGCCACAACCCCTCAAGCAACACATACAAAAAAAATTTAAACAAAACTAAACTCAACGATAAGCAACTAAACAGATAAATTATCCAATAAACGGCAGGAAAATCAACCTGAGAAGAAAAATCATAGAATGATAAGACAAAATATTCAGAATCTATTCACAATTTCCCTACTCAACATGCTCCATTCAATAAACCCCTATTTAATTTACCAACCAGTTCTATAAAAATAAAATTGAACAAATTTTAGGGCAAAACTTCTTGTCTGACTTAAAAAGTATAAACCCTAGAACACACACTCCCAAAACAATCCATAAACAATGTCCTATTAGTTGAAATAGAAAGAGAGAAAGAAAAACCTGTAAATTTCTTGAGATGAAGAGGAATCACTAGAAGGGCTTCTTCGCCTGCGCTTGCTGGTGTGACATCTCCTCTTCTTGCGAATTCTGTGCGATTCTTTGACCCTTAGTCGACGGCGTCGACCTCCATGATCAGATGAGTAACTTTCAGACGAAGAAAAAGAGCATTGGGATGACGAGGAAGAGGCGCGAGGCGCCATTGAAGAACAAGCTTTTGGTAGTCGATCCCCGCGTTACTTGTTGGAGAGAAATGCGTCTGTAAATATCTAGGAAAAAGTTTATATGAGGTGCGTGGAATTTAAGTAAGGACAACTGTTTCATGCGGGCTGGACCGCATTTCTACATATGCGGTTCAGAAAAAGTGTAAAGCATCCATCTTCATTATTTCTAGTAGGTGCTCCATCTTAAAAAAAAATGAAAACAAACGGTCCAAATGCTTTCTTATTAGAATTATTATTTTTAGTTTTCAAATTTTATTTATTTTTTTATATTCATAATCTCCATGTTAGAGATTACATATCTTTAAAAATTAAGCTTCAAAAATCCATCTCAAAAACAGATTTATTAATAAGCCCACATTTCTACATATGTGGGCTTGGCCGTACACAAACGGGGTCCAAAATATAATGATATTAAAAAAGGTGTGGTTTGTATAAGGTTGAGGCCTTAAAGAATTAAAATAAAGTGCACCTTCAAATAGTTTTAGAATATGTTGTTTTATTATCAAAGATCTTTATGATGACGTGATAATTTATTTTTATCTCTAATTATAAAATTTAAATATTCAAAAATAGTGTAGATCTATGAATATTTGAAAAACTTCAAAATCGACAATCTAGATGATACATTACAAGATACATTATTTCTAAGACTTGAAAATCTATTTCTTTTCTCATGTCCATAGATCTTGGTGCTGAGATGATCGAATTGAGGATTTTTTAGCATCAAAACAACATCTTCTTGTAAATTTTTAAATCACGCCTTAGTTTGATTGTTTAGGGCATCGCCCTTATATAAACTTTTTCCTATTAAAAAAGATTTTAATAATTCTCCAATTGATCATCTCAACCTTCTTTTATAGTTTCCAAGAATTAATAATATTTTCAAGTCTTAAAAATGATGCATCTTCTTACAAATTATCTCGAGTATCTATTTAAAAATGTTAAGTATTTATAGTTATGCTCAATCCGTGCTATTTTGACATTTTAAATTTCTGTATGAAAAAAAGATTTAGAGTTTCACTCTCATGAGTCTCTAGCAGTGGAACTACATCTCTAGTCAAAATTTGGAGGTGTATCTTACTTCTACATAAGCTTCACCCAAATATTTATTAATAAGAACCGATATTTTTTTGGTGGTTAAGATGATATGGAAAAGCCTCACCCAAATATTTATTAATAAGAACCGATATTTTTTTTGTGGTTAAGATGATATGGAAAAGCCTCACCCAAATATTTATTAATAAGAACCGATATTTTTTTTTGTGGTAAAGATGATATGGGAAAACTGTATATAAGGTGTGAACCTTACAGTACACGTAATAGATGCACACAATAAATTCGACAGGAAGATTATTCTAATGTTAGAGAACACTTCAATTAACCATCTAGAATTTTTCTTAAAAAAAAAAGATTTTAAGTCTTAAAAATAATACATCTCCTAATATATCATCTAGATCATCAATTTTTACGATTTTCAAGTGTTTATTGATTAATTCAATCCAATACTATTTCGAAGCTCTAAACTTTTTAATTAGGGGTGGAAACTGGTATTCAGGTCATCATAAGAGCTTTCTTCCTACAACATTTGGAGTTGAGCATTACTTGTGGGCGCCTTCTATAAAACACACCTAATACGTATTAATGGATATTTTTTTTTGGAAAATTGTTTCATGCGGACTGAACGTTAAAAAAAAATGTTCAAAATATTTTGTTTCATGTGGACTAGACTGCATGACTATGTATGTAGTCCAAGTACGTGTTCCATTTAAAAACAATGGGAATTAACAATCCAAATGTTTTCTTACTATAATTATTATTTTTAGTTCTTAAAATTTATTTATGTTTTCATATTCATGATCTCCATGTTAGAGATTACGTATCTTTAAAAATTAAGTCCAAAAATCCATCGAGAGGCCTACATTTCTACCCATGCGGGCTTGGCCGCATAGAAACCGGGTCCTTTTCTTTTTCCCCTAGGGCCGTTTGGATATCTGGAAATATATTGTCTGTGCGTAATACATTACCTGCAAATGGATTGTTATTGTTTGGATAGTATTTTGATGTGGGAAATACATTGTTACTATTTAGCTATGTCTGAAAGAAAAATATGAGAAATGCATTATCAAATTAAAAATCTTTATAATACAAGTTAAACAATGGGAAGAAATTTGATTAGTAAACTACAAGCAGCTTCAGTAATTGAGTAAAAAAAGTTTTTAGATATTAGAGGAAACTAAAGAGGTATATCTTATTTCAATTGAGCTTTTACTAATATCTTATGAGGATTATGTTGAGTGAAATTTTTTATTATAATTGTATTGTGTAATTTCTTATATTGGGTGAATTTTTTTATTATAATTGTGCTATTTAATTTTTCATTGAATAGATATGCTAAGGAAAATGGATATAGTAAAGAGAGAGGGAGAATGGAAAAAGTAAGAATAAGGGGGCTAAAAAAAGAAAAAGTCCAGATGAGAGGAAGGTGCATAACGGTAAAGGGGCTTAAAAAAAATATAGATGAGAAGAAGGGGCCTAAAGGGAGAGAAGGAGGGGCTTAACGAGAGTGGGAACTTTATGCAAACCAGTTATTAGGGTTACAGAGAGAGAGGATAAGAGAGTAGGAGATCTTATGCAAACCAGTTATTAGGGTTACAGAGAGAGAGGATAAGAGAGTAGGAGATCTTATGCAAACCAGTTATTAGGGTTGCTAAAGGAGAGAATAAGGTGCTTGAAGTAGAGAATAAGGGGCGTAAAAAGAATAAGAGACCTTATACAAACCAGTTAATAGGGTTCAAGAGAGAGGACATGCTTAGAGAGAATGAAGAAAATAAGGGGCTTAGAGAATAAATGGCTTAAAAAAAGTGGTGGACCTTATGCAAACCAGTTATTAAGGTTCAAGTGAGTGGGGACATGCTTAGAGAAAAAAAGGAACAGCTATGAAAACTGAGTAAGAGGACCGAGTAGGAGGTTTACGATTTTATTTAGCTGGGATAGGGCAAAGACACTGAAGGCAAAAGATTCTAAAGATTACTCGAGCGTAATAGATTTTTCACCTTTATGATTTTTGAAGAAATTTCGGGTAATCTCTTTACAGATTACCAGTCAAACGCATGATAAATTTTTTATCTTTCACTGAGAGTGTTTCATGATTTTTAAAAAAATCTCGAATAATCTCTCTTTCAATTTTCTTTACTATAAAGAGTACCCAAATCATAAAAATATCATATTTTCTTTATAATCGATTGTCTTGTAATAGATTTCTAAGTACTAACGCTCCCTGGTATATAGCCATAAAGTGCGCCATCGATGCACTTCGTTGTATAGCCATAAAGTACGCCCATGCTAGCATTTTGTAAAATCAGTACCCGAAGAGCCACTTGGACGGACCTTTTCCCTCTTATGCTTCGGGTAAGTGCAACTTGTTCATGCACAAAGCGGCATCATCCATGCACCCAATCTTTTAGAAATAATTTCCCTCTAAGATTCCAAACCCAAGCCATCATTCCTGCCATGCGTGTATTGCATTATTCTAGAAAAGATTGTTTTGATGCTCAAATATCTTCAAATTGATCATTTCGACATCAAGATGTATAGACATGAGAAAAAAATGGATTGCAAGTTTTGGAAATAGTGTATTTTGTAACTCAATTTTGAACTGACAATTTTCAAGTTTTGATAAATATGTCAATCTACACTATTTTTGAAGCTTTAAACTTTATAAATTAATATGAAAATATATTTTGAGGCTAGCACAAAGATTTCCAACGTTAAAACCACATTTCTTGACACTATTTGAAGGTAGGGTTTAATTTGATTGTTTAGAGCCTAGGTTCTATACAAACGGCACCCTTATTTTATTGGGCAAGCTTTCTATACTTTTTATGTATAAAACTTATGTACTCCACCTATCCAATTGTTCATTATCAATGGACGGGTGAGATAGTCTCAATCACAATGTCACTCTTCTACACTATTTTATTTTTATTTTTTCTACAAAATATTTTCACACCAAGTTTTTGATGTCCATTCCTCTCTATAACTCACATAGGGAAAACATATAAAATGAATATCCCAAATAAATAAAAGAACAAAAATACCCTTTAAAATTTTAGATGGTATTTTGGTTATTGTATTTTATCGAAAATATTTTTTAATATTTGTTTTCGGTGCACTCCATTGAGATGATGGCACGTACCAGATCTAATATTCATATTATTTTTAAAAAATAAAAAATAAAATACTATGAAACCTCAAATCTAGATCAAATAATCAGTGAATTAGACAGCAGACTGAAGGGAAATACATATCTCTTAGTAGGGGAAGTACATAAACATTTCTTTATTTTAAGCATGCCTAGTAGGGGAAGTACATAAACATTTCTTTATTTTAAGCATGCCTGAGGATTCAAGGTTTAAAAGATATGAATCGTAAAAGAAATTTGAACACCGATCAAAATAGTCTCGTAGTGGTTAGTTTTATGATAATTTTATTAAAATGGGATTTAGGGTTTGGCTTATGGGAATCATAAGGATCCCAAAGTCCTAACTCATCTACAAATAGGAGAATTACACAAGAGAGCAATTTATTATCTCATGTCAACTCGAAAAGACCCAATTACATTTGTGCGTACGGTTTATATAAGGTAGTAACGTTGTTTGTAGAAGTAAGGTTATAATGCTCTAAGAACTTCTATTTTACTTGGACATTTTAATGTTAACACCCATAAAATCCTGTAGGTTACATAAAGAAAGGACGTGAAATACTCAAATTATTTTAGTTGCCCTATAAAATAATTAAGAGTGTTTTTGTCATTAGAATGGGTAATGATGATATTTTTATTAAAAGTCAAAAGATAGGTTTGTTATCTCAATGAGGTATATTGAAATATTCGTTAAAATATAAAGCCATTTTTATCAATAAAGTTCTTAAAAATTCACTCTCTAATTACTTTTGTCTTTTAGTGAATATATCAACAATATCATTTCTAATGACAAAAATACTCTTACATATTTTATGAATATTGCATAATTCAAACAATAGACTCGGTTCAAAGTCCATGAAAATTTTTGTGACAAACCTCAAGCCCCAAGATTTCAGACTTGACTGTTAGGAGTGATTGTCCTATAAGAAAAAAATTTATATAAATCCAATAGAAAAAGAAACCTAAAAAATCCAATAGAAACAAGACACAGCTCAAAATCAAATAGTAAAAAGTAGATCTATAGAAATAAGATACACCTCAAAATCCAATAGAAACGAGCGCTCCGAAGTTAGAAATCTTGCAATTGATGATCCCAACCTCAAGATATATAGATATAAAGAATAAAAAAAGAAATTTAAGTCGAAAATGCATCGTGTAACAAGTTATCTAAACCCTCTATTTTCAAGATTTTCAAGTGTTTATAGATCTACTTGAATTGTAATGTTTATAATTTTTTGAATTTGATAATTAAGGTTGAACATGAATTTCTAGCTATCGTAAGGTTTCTGGCAAGAGAACTATATCTTTAGACAAAATTCAAAGGTGCGCTTGCTTGTATAGAACTATATCTTTAGACAAAATTCAAAGGTGCGCTTGCTTGTATAGTGTAAGGTAGACACCTCATACAAACCTTGAGTTATATTGATATAAAATGCATATTTATATTACTTCTATGATTTTTATGGTGATTTAGGAACTTTTTTTTATTACATGCACCATTTTTTACTTTTTCCTTTGCTTTTACGGGAATCAAAATTTTCAACGATCCATCTTTTCTATCCCTTTTTTATCTTTTATAAACCTTTTAATGACTTTTGCCTTACTTTTTGCTATTTTTTATTTTCAAAAAAAATACCGTGCTCTTTTTTTTTTTTTTTAAGCATATATTGGGCTATCAAGACTCCATTAATTTCACTCAAATTTGGCATAGTAATATGTCCTTCAGAGAACGTATTTCTACAATAGCATCTTCAGAAGCATGTGGTTATCCAAACAAAAAATTTAAATCAACAATATTACAATCACATACAAAAAAATTAATTCATATTTTATTTTTTTTCAAAACAAATATCTTCATATATATATATATATATATAGCAATGATTTCATACAACCAACGTTTTAAAAAACGGCGAGTCCCGGTTCGACTCGGAAACACGCGTGCCCGTGCCGGTTCTAACCGAAAACCGGGAATCGCCAAGTTCTAGAGTGGAACCGCTGGTTCCCATCCGGTTCAGCCTGGTTCTAGAGTGGAACTGCCGGTTCCCATCCGGTTCGGCCCGGTTCTAGAGTGGAACCACCGGTTCCCATCTGGTTCGACCCGGTTCTAGAGTGGAACCGCCGGTTCCCATCCGGTTCAGCCCGGTCACACACGTAACACATAACACGCATGTGCGAGCGTGCCCCACGCACACTCACACTCGCACACGTGTGTCCGAGCACACGTGCGAGCGTGCCCCATGTACACTCACACGTGCACACGTGTGTCCGAGCGCATGTGCGAGCGTGCCCCACGCACACTCACACACGTAACACATGACACGCACTTGCGAGAGTGCCCCACGCACACTCACATCGCGTACACGTGTGTCCGAGCGGATGCAGGTGCGAGCGTGCCCCACACACACTCACACGCGTACACGTGTGTCCAAGCATACGTACGACACACATCTGCGAGCATGCCCCGCGCACACTCACACGCGCACACGTGTGTCCGAACGCACATGCAAGCGTACCCCACGCACACTCACACGCGTACATGTGTGTCCGAGCGCACGTGCGAGCGTGCCCCCTCGCACACTCACACACGCACATGTGTGTCCAAACGCACATGCGAGGTTGCCCTAATATTTTTATACACATTTTATAATTCATATTGCATAGGTATTTATATACCAAATTTGAATACCCATATTTCGATATGAGATAATTCTCAAACTTCATTAAATGAAAACGAAATGTAAATATAGTCTATTAATCAGCAGTTTATAATTACATAGTTGGTATAAATATTTTTGTTGTTTTTGAATCCCCTTGGGCATGTGTTGTATTTTTGTTGTATATATAGTGGTTGGTATAAATATAAATATTTTTGTTGTGTATATAGTGGTTGGTATAAATATAAATATTTTTGTAAATAATATAAAAGACATAAAAAAATGAAAAATAAAAAAATTAATTTTTTATATAACCGTAAATTTTTGTTGTATATAGTGGTATAATTATTTTTGTAAATAATATGAAAGGTATAAAAAAAATAAAAATAAATTTTATTCTATTTGAAATCTCCATCTTTCTACTAACAATATCTTTTACTAAATTTATTATAGAAACCTAAAAAATAAATTTTTGAAAAGTTGAAGTGTTATTTCCAAAATTTGTACGCATTTTATTAATTTTTACATTGATAACTAAATATTTTATTTTATTTATGAATTTTTACATTGTAAACCATGTAATATACCATTTTTCTTACAGTTGTCAATAATACATTTTAAATTATCTAATTTGTTGACAGTTGTTGACCATAGGTCGTTCATTTTGGTGAGATGCTTATATTTAAGCATTAAAAGGATTTTTTTCATTTTTTAATTTTTTGGATTACTTTATTATCATTAGATGAACAATGTTAAAAAAGACAAAAAAGATTTTGAGCTTATAATGGCTAAGATTTTGAAATTCACAAAATGAATGGTCTAGATTCGTTTTTGAAGGAGAACTCATTTTGACCATATCTAAGGTTCAAATTGAATTTGCTCATTGCTTTTATTTATATATATATATATATATTAAGATTCTTGGTCAATCCTCGTTAGATTTTCTGTCCCTAAAATTTAAAATCCAAAATTCATTGTTAAAATAATTTTCAAAAGAGGACTCATTTCAATGGTGGTGAGGCGCCAGACCCATAGAAACCATGTCCGAAATAAAAAGCCCAGAGCGTGAGCGTTGGGCTCGAAGACAGCGGAGAGGGCCGACAAAGCGGCCGTTCCTTTCTCTTTTTGACCGTTAATGATGTGGGGCCCTTCTACTTAACAAAATGACAAACTCCTCTTCCTCTCTCTCCCTTCCAAGTAAGTTATTGGGTTAACAAAGAGAGCACCAATACTATACGATCCACATGCTATGCTCCCAATATTTTCATTCTGACGTTTAAATACCCTATTCGTACATTCAAATGACAGGAATCTCCCTCCTCTTCCCTGGGTAATTTTCCCATGTATTGAGTGTCACCCTTGTTTCAGAAATGGGAATGCATTGTATGAAGTCATCTATTTTTATCACAAAGTCAGATAAGTTTTAGCTATTATATTTGAAATCTTAAATCTGGATGCTAATAATGATTCATAAAATTCGAGAAAACTTTATTGAGCATTTTACACATTCACTTACCCACTCTTAGCTATTTGATTTCGAAAAAAGCTTATATAAAGTGTTAACCTTATACTGCATGCGTAAGGTGCAGCTAAAAATGCACTAGAGAAGGTTGCTTTTATGTTGGAAACCCTCAAATCAATCATCTCAACCTCGAGATTCATAGACATAAAAAATAAAGATTTATAGTCTTAAAAATAGATCATCTTCTAATATATTATCTGGACGGTCCATTTTCAAAATTCTCAAGTGTTTATAAATATACTTGATCATCACCATTTTTAAAACTTTAAATTTTATAATTGGAGGAAACAATAGAATTTCATATCATCATAAGGATATTGCATTTTCGACTAGTTTTGATATGCATCGTAGTATAAAGTTGACACCTTATATAAACCTCAACCTCTGATTTTACATGTGATTAACCTCTGATTTCACTAGCCAAGAGTCCGACCTTTTTATATGAATAGTAAATATTCATAAATTTCATGCTCAGGCCATGGAATTATATTTAACCATTCAAATTTCTCCTGTCCCAAAAAAAAAAAATTGTTTGTAAGGAAAAAAAAAAAGAAAAGCAAAAGTATTTTTGTCATTTTCGTAAACAAGAGGATTTTTAAAAATTACATCATTTATTCGCTCATCAATCACTGGCGTTAATACCGCTGCTTCCGCCGCTTCAAAAAGGAAGCATATGTTTTCCCTGCTCACTTCCCTCCCCTGACTGTATTAAATTAAATTAATAACAATAATAGGATACCACGAACCAGATCCCCATTTCGTCACAAAATCTCTCTCTCTCTCTCTCTCTCTCCTGGTTTTCTCTATCGCAAGAAGGAGCGCTTCTCTCTCTAGAAAACGTGGCAAGAAAGGGGATCTCCTTCCTTCTGGTGTCTCTCCGTCTTTGTCTTGGAGAAAAGAGATCAGGAGATGACGACCAAGTCTCCAATATTCCCAATGCCAGAGCCCCAACACTACAGTGACTATGGCTTTGACCCCCAAATCGACTATTTTCAGGTACCCATCATCCCCATTTCCCTTCTCCTCTCTCTGCTTCCTCTTCTTCTTCTGCCCATTCTTTTTCTCTATACAATTTAGTTTTTAGTTAGAAACCACTTCCCCCATTTCTTTCTCTCTCTACATTTCCCTAATTTTTCACTTCGTGCTGCCTCTCTTGATCAGGTTCTTGAAGAAGCCAAGAAGTACAAGAAAGAAGGCAGAACCTTCGAAGCCCATGAACTGCAGGTTCTGAAGCCATTGCAGAGAGACGACGAGAAGAAGAGCAAGAAAAGATGGTGGAAAAGGTCTGTGTTCTTGTTCTGGAAGTGGAAGAGGAGCGAAACCGTCAGTTTCAGAGAGGAAAATATTGGATATAGTGGGGGTTCAACGAAGAATGCGGTTTCAGGGCCTGTTTATGGGACAGAGGGATGGCGTACGCCTTGCAGAAGCAGTCGTCCTTCTTCGGGTCCACTTTCTGAAATGGTACCTGAACTTCCATACCTAAACCTTAAAGACCTCAACTATGTTCAACCCAGAATCTCTACTTCCACGCCTATTTACTTGGTCACTTAGTTTCTCGCTCTCTAAAAAATCAGTCTCCCTTACTCTTTCTCTCTCTAAAATTTATTTGCCTCTAAACCCCTTTTTTCCCTCTATCTAAAACGATTCAGACGGACCCATTTCGCTTTCTCTCCTATTCTACAAGTACTCTGTTTTCTTTCCTATTCTACAAGTACTCTGTTTTTGTTACAAGCTCCAGTCTCTCTGTCACTCTTGGATCAATTACTTTTTACTTTTACCGCATTATTTACATCTCTCTCATATTATGTATTTTTGACAATATCCCTGACATTTTATTTACACCCACCATTTCATTTGCATGACTTTCTCTCTCTTCTGGTTATTTCATTTATGAATGGTGCATCGGGCGGTGTATGTGGTGGCCGTTTCAAGGCTGGCTGCCATGGAAAATGCCAAAAAAATAAAATAAAAATTGGAAACGAAGTGAGAGAAAGCATTCGTATTTTTCTCTCTCATCGTATCCAAAATGAAGGACAAGTTCATTAAAGATGAGCACAAAGTTGGTCCATCTGTTTGTATTGTGTGTAATTTGTTCCGGTAATCTTGGGCTATTGTCATTTATTTGTATTACTGACTCAACTCTCTTTATTTTTCATTCCATCGGCAATGTTGAAGGTAAAGGCTACTAAAAAGTATGTACTCCATTTATTTTTATTTCTCTCCGTGAAGAGAATGAAACGCGAGCACGTTCGCTTTGCTGGGCCCCTCCCCTCGCCTAGATGATGGCCGGCCTAAGTTACTTAGAGATTTTGGGAACCGCCAGTGTTCGCAAAACCACCCAGCTGGTTAGAATCGGAACAGGTTGGTTAGATCCCTACTAGTGGGGTGGCGATTCTAGTTAAGGCTGGTTTAAAGGTACATAAGGTAAAAGGACACTCTCCGAAAAAAAATCGGGACCAACATCGGCCTGTTCAATTTCGAACTGACGGTTTTTCTTCAAAACCAGTATGGCTTAACGTTAGTTTTGGTTCGTTATAACGCAGTTCTAACGCATCAAATAACGACAATTATTTGACACATGTCTATTATTTTTTACGGAACAAGATTTTGTAGCTTTTTTTCTCTTCAATTTTGTAGTTTTTTTTTATTTTTTGGATCAAATATTGATGTTATACACCGTAAATTTTCTATAGATCATCGATTATTGAATCAAAAGTCGAAAAACAAAGAGTTCCTGGCGGATTGAAATGGGGATTTTTGAAAATTAAAAATTTTCGCCATTCTATCAAATGCAGCTTTAATATCTCATATATTTTCATAAAAATGGAGGGCTTTGATTGATTGTTGAAGGATTCAACATTTACATATTTCAAGTTTTCCAAACGATGAAGATTTTTGGTTTTTTTGGGCCCGAAGTGCTGCTTATCGAAGAACTGTTTTTATCCAAACAAATTGATTTCTGATCTATCAGTTGATCGATTTTTATTGAATTGATCACTAAAGTTTGATCATAAAGGCCTTATCTATCAAATAAACTAGTTATTTTGATTTACTATTCATTAAATATTTTTATATCGATTTTTTTTGCTGCGTTTTTTCTTGAAATTTTTTGTGATATGAAAAATCCGCAATTTTTTGAATAACGATCTCAATAGTGAATAAATTTTCATGAAATTTGGGGATGAAATTTGGGGCTTTTGAATCTTAATTGAAGTGTCTATCATCGTCAATTTGTTCAAAAAATGAAATATTTGGGGTTGAATTCGACTCTAAAGTTTTTGTGTTCTTTCGCTCGATTTTAGGTTTCTTAAAAAAAAAAAAGAAGTGTGTTTTTAATAAAGTTACGTTTTATTTTTATAAAAATATGTAATTTGTGATGAATATGAGAAAAAAAAGAATATATATTTTTTTTAATTTTATATATTTTTTTGGTGAGCTTGTTGGATTGTTTTTAATGTTGTATTTTTTTTTACAAAAATATGTTTTTTTGTGATGAATACGAGAAATAAATATTTGTTTCTTTTTAATGTTATATAT